TCCCAGCTCAGAGTCCACGTGGACTGAACCGGACCGACATGACCACCAGTCATGTTGAACATCCATCCATCCATTTTCTANGACCTGGAAACACGGCTCACCGGACCTGGGAGGTAAAAAGATGGCGGATGCACCGCGATCGGGGCGGCGAGCGGCCATCAGAGGACAAAGTGCTGAATGGAGCCGTGTGGTGAGAAGAAATGAAAACTGACGGGTGGAAGGACGAAGCATCAGGATGTTTATTGATCGTTTGGACAGCAGCAGCACAGACGGGACATTTAGAAAAGTCTGGACTCGTCTCCATGGAAACGCTGCTGTCTCAAAGCACTACATTTCCCAGAGTCCTTTTGGGCACTCTGGACAAACCACTGCTGGATATATAATATTGTATATAACATAAAGTTAGACTGATTATAACTGTATCACCTGTTTTCCAATCTGATTGGTCCAAACTGTGCAGTGAATCATCTCTACCTTAGAAATACATTAATTTAACAATAAAATCCATCTTTGTATAGACATTTCTAAAGTGTCACACTGAGAGAACAGCCAGACTTTACAGTTTTTCTGTCAACAAAACGATATACGTAGGGTCTCTGCATACACAGCGAGGGAGGTGTGAAGGACCACCTCGGCTAAATGTCCCACAGCTGGAACAGTAACTATTACAATAAGGATTTGTCCGTCGAAAACTTGCTCCACCAATCAGAGACTGCGGCAAAAAGTGAGGAGCCAATGACACGGCAGAGGGCTCAGCGTGGGGAACGGGTCAGTTCAGGTGATGGACATGTCGTCTCGGGTCTGGTGGGCCTTCTCAGGGATACACAGCGAGACGCAGCGTCCGGTCGAGTTTCATGGATCTGTGTTTAGTACAAAACTGTAAAATATATTTAATATTCCTGTTTGTTTCGATTCATTTTGTTTTCCTGAACTGATCAACTGTCTGTTGTTGTTTTTAAAAAAAATATAATCCCACATTACAAATAAATAAAAGCTGCACTGATGGATTTTGCACCAGTACGAGCAGAAAATATAAAAACAAGCTGCCAGATTGGTGAGACGCACAGTTTACACCAGAGTGTATCACTAAATGTGACGTGATTGTAAACTGCACCACCTCACAGTAATCAGATTACTTCTGGTTAAACAGCAGAGTATTTTGTCTGATGAACAATCAAAAACTCTTCCAGATGTTTGGTGTGAACCTGACCAGGACCACCACAGTGGAT